TTGGCCTGCTGTGTTCATCCAGCCCTGCACCTTGTTGTCTCGGATTCACCAGCATCTGCAGTTCCTACTAGCTCCAGTGGCAGTCAAGTTGTCGTGTTGTAATCTGTGTGAGTTTCCACTAATATTGATTTTGTGTTTCAGCAGATTCTGGGAGAAGGAGATCGAAACGTATTATGAAAAGTGATCAAAGTATTTTGAGAACTCTGCTTGGTATTTTTCTGACAATTGGATACAGTTCAGCTGTTGGTAAGATTTTCAATCAAACTGTTTTCTTCTTTATTTTAATAAATAATCAATGCAATTTAGTGTCCTTTACATCTTTTAGCAAAGCATCAAAATAATATGTTTAATTTGTAAAGTTTGTGGGGGTTTTTGCATGAACAAAAACAGACATGAAACTGAAAAGTACCAAAATATTTCAAGAAAAGTATCTGTATTGATTCCGTTGTTTGTTCATTACATTTCCAATTTAAGTTGGAGGCAGTTTTTTTTTGTCAGTTTTGTATTTTGAGGGGGTGTTTTGAAGTACATTGCTTTTATGCTCAACAGAAAAAAAAAGTACCTTAGATGTGAGAAATCTGAAATAAAGCAGAACTGGGGGCAGGGGTGGGGGAAGAAAAGAACTCAGCAGGTCAGTCAGCATCTTTGGAAGTGAAGTAGTGCTAATGAAAAAGTCAGCTTGTCAGGGATTTTTCTAGACTTTATAAAATCTTCCATTTCAACGCAATCAGTATAGAACACTTTGACGAGGTACAACCAGCTTCACAAGTAAGTTGTTGCTCTGGTGATGGATCTCCAGCCCAATCTCAAACCTTCACTCCTGAATGACTGATTTGTCCTTCTTGCAATAACCTCAGTCATTTTATGGGCTTTTGAGTGAGATTGCCAATTTAGGGACAACTTTGTGTTCAATTCCCGTGCCCAGTGGGAACTGGGACTGAGATTCTCCAAGCTGTTCACGTAATGCCTTTACAAAGGAGACTCTCATTCTCTCAGCTTGGGTTGGATTCATAAAGTAGACCCCAGAACTGAAAAGTCAGTGTTCAAGCAGCTGCACTTCCCAATGTCCTTTTACCAGGCATTTAAACAGCTCTTGGGATTTCCCCCAGTGGTATTAGAGCAAATATGGTTATTGCATTAAGGCTTATACATTTATTGACTTTCAGCTTTGGATATCCCAGTTAAGTATGGCTGTAGTGTGTAATGAGGTTATCCTCTCTTATCCTCCCTTGCCTCTGTGTTTGAAGTTTTGAAGTTTTTTAAAGTTTTTACCATCAGACTGATTGATTGATTGTCCAGGATGCCAAGTCAGCTCCCACACATGCTCCGAAGTGGCCTGTGACATCAGCTGGCAGTGAAAGGGTTGGTAGGGCAGGGGCTGGTGAAGAGGAGCTTACCCCACACACTGGTAGGGTCTTTCCTCAGCTGTCAGTCACTCCCCGCACTCCCCTTGGAATGGGCCAACCTGGAGTGAGGGGCACCATGTCTGGGGGCAGGGACTGGTCCTGAATCTATTTCCCTTCACCCCCCTCAAAAACCGTGCTCAATATGTCCCTCCATCTCATCAAGATATTGAAGTTGCGGATAATGACTTGCAAGTTTACCTTTCGATATTTTTTCTTGCTAGGTGATGTATTTATGATTATATAAAGATAACAATCCATCAAAATAAATACTTGATCATGAGTTTTAAGAAGATCTTGAAAGCATGCTGTTACTAATCTATTCCTCTTCATTCACAGTGGAGTTTAATGTCCATACCCCAGACACACTGGTCACTGCTGTCTATGGCCACTCCGTTGTGCTAAGATGTAACTTTACTGTTCAGCATGGATCTCCATCACTAGAACGACTGGTCATCAATTGGCAACGTGTCGAGACTGAGGAAGTTGTGTATAGCTATTATTATGGAAAGGAGCAACTGAGTCACCAAAGCTCTCAGTATTCAGGGAGAACAAGCTTATTCATGGAGGAATTAAAGCGAGGGAATGCTTCACTGAAGCTGAGCCAAGTGAAACCAGAGGATGCTGGACAATACAAGTGCTTTGTTAGTGACGCTATAGGAAGTGGCTGGGGCACGATGTCCGTAATGTTTGCAGGTACTTATTTCTGCGTTTATTTTAGTTCCTTGAAGTTGTAAATTAAAATCCCACTTCGTAGCCTCCCCAGATGGCCAAGAGGGTATAAGTGTCTAAGCCGTGCCCTACAGACCAGGTAGATTGCCCAAACTCTGGTCTAACTCTTTTCTCTATTCCTGACCTCCTCCCATCTCAGTGAGGATGGCCATGCCTGTTGGCTGTTCCCCAACCTAATTGTATTTGGATATCTCCAGGATCCAGCTGAAATGTGACCTCCTCATAAATGAGAAACCCACTGACAATAAAGAATTCAGCGTAAAGCTGAACAATGATGATGATTTGAGCTGATACCTGAGCATGTTATGCCAGCAACAAATTGAACTTCTCCTCCGGGGCAAGTGGGTATGGAGAAGAGACAAAAGGCAGGAAGCAGAGAGGAAGTATGTGCTTCAACAGTCTTGTAAATCTCAAGATAGAAAATGTTGGTAAATGTTGTGGGTTTAGTGATCAGACCCTATTTGCCAAAACTCAATTACATTTCCCCATTTACAGATCTCTTTGAGCTAGAAATCAGTCCAGAAGCTTCCAGTTCTGGGAAGGAAGGCGCTAATCCAGAGACACTCTGGAGAAGTGGTGAAATCCAAAGTTGGGTTCTTTTTTTGTGCTGCTCATCTCTTTAAATTGTTACTGGGTGAGCACCGATGTTGTCTGTGTGTGCAGGTGCAAGACACCATGAAAACAGTGGTTGTATAAATAACTTTAATGATCGTGTTTGTATGATTGTGGTGAAAGGTTCAGGGTGGGTGAGAATGATGGAGTTGAGGCTGTGATTGGATCAGCCATGACCTAATTGAATGGTCAATCCATTCAGGGACAGGGTGCCCTACTCCATCTCTAATTCATTCATATATGTTTGTTGATGCCCTTCACTGATATGTTAACAACTGGACAGCATTCTACTCTCCTTTCATAATTCTTGGTTTAACAGCTGCTCTTGTAGGATTTTCCACCTTCAGCTACATTTGTTATAAATTAAATAGCTTTCCAAAATGACCACTATAACAGTGATCACTGCCCCTTGGTCTGTTTGAACATTTAAAGTTTTAATGGCATTGTTTAATTCCAGTTATTAACACAATTCTTAGTTTGTTGTCAAGTTTATTTCTTATTTCTATTGACTTGTTTGTTTTTATTCTCCAGCCTATTACAAAGAACCTGACTTTTACATCCAACTAAGACCATCTGGGACAGTTTTCAGATTTGAATCTCAAGGTTATCCCAAGGCATTTGTGTCTTGGCACAATGAAGACAATGAGGATATTTCTGCTCAGTCTGAGACTTATTACCAACAAAGTGACAATGGCTTATACTCACTGCGCAGTATTCTGGAAATTACTGATACCAATAGAAGTTTGAACTATACCTTTAAGTTAACGAATAATGTACTACACCAATCAGTTTCTCGAACATTTGGCCTTTCTGTAGGTAAGTTAACCTTGTATCCTACACGGTTGGTACTCCCAACCTCCCATTTGTTTTTGTAATATAATACTGAACACCTACATCTTGAGTGCTCTACGTTGGTTAAAGTAAAGAATACCTTGAGCTGGATATCTGTCCTCCATTGGGGTCTGGATCAGAGATAAATAGGAGCTAAAAATAATTCTGCTGGCAATGCTACGCCTGCCTCTTTGTAGGTTACGTGGAACAATCCCTCTTCCGTACCTACACCGGCCCTAAACCCCACCTCTTCCTCCGTTACATTGATGACTGTATCGGCGCCGCCTCGTGCTCCCACGAGGAGCTCGAACAGTTCATACACTTCACTAACACCTTCCACCCCAACCTTAAATTTACCTGGACCATCTCTAACACCTCTCTCCCCTTCCTGGACCTCTCTGTCTCCATATCGGGCAACCACCTAGAAACCGATATTCATTTCAAGCCCACCGACTCCCACAGCTACCTAGAATACTC